GGACTTCACGAGCCACTGTTCCTTAGCATCATGGTAAAAAAATTGCCCTTCAGTGTTGCTAACACTACACTGTGCTACAATGAGCTGTTGTGGATCAGGGCACATGGAACATCTTGTCTCTTTTGGGCTGCTGTTCGCATTTGCTATTGCCATCGCAAAACTGCCTGGGGTCAGATTTATAAAAGATTGCGTGGAAACCATACTAAAAGTGAACGTACAGCCAAAAGGCAGAAATGGCATACGCAAAAAAAAAAAAAAAAAAAAATTCAGTTTTATAAAAACGTGCGCACGCATGTTTCTGTGCATCTTTCCTTTTTAGCTCACACCCGCACGTCAGAGTTTGCACACATGGTCCCGCCTCAGGTTCTCCGTCAAAAATCTACGCAAGTTAAAGTACTGAAGTACTTACTTTAAAAAAATACTTAAGTATTCAAAAGTACATGTCTTTAAGTACAAATAACATTTTCTAATATCAGTACATTGCTGTACTGTTTTCAGTGTGATTTTACAGAACCTTGTAACTCTCAGAAACCACCTGATGTATCGACACATACAACCACATTGCTACAAATTCTACATCACCTGTAAAGACTTCAGCATAAAAATTACAATAAAGTGAGTGGTGAGTTCTTAAACGCAGAAATGTAATTTACCGCAGTGAACCCAGAAGACATTTAAACTGATACGAACTATTTTTCAGTCCTAAAAATCTCAAACATTGAGCTGAGATATGGTCATGGGTGTGCTGGTTTCTCTACTCTCTTCAACTGTCTCCATTGCTGGGTTCTGTTTGAAATGAAAGTGGGAGCTCAGCTCATGACTGTTAAAGGGGCAATATCATGTAAAATCAACTTTTGAGTTTTATATCATGTTAAATTATCCTCTCATCAAAAATATGTCCAGAGTCTTGCTTTGACTCATTCATGCATGTTTGAGAAATCCTGTATTGTCCTGAGGCAGCCAGGCAGGGGAGCAAAAATGACCAGTTGGGCCTAGTACCGCTTTTTAGGACAAGCTCCTCCTCTGGACTGTGTGTCCAAACAGATCTTCCTCATCACAGACCACACACACCCATCCCCCACCCCCGCCCATGAGCCCTGTAGAGAGAAGTGGCTGTGATGATGTGTTAATGGGCAGGACAGAAGCGGAACGAGGTTCTTGAAGAGACAGAGGCCAATTTCAAGGTGTTTAGAAACAGAAATAATGAGAAGACAAGTTTATTTTCTATTTAAACACATAAAAAGCATTTAAATAACAACTGAACGTCACACAGATGCTTTATTATGGTATAGAATTTAAATATATGCCTGAGAAACACATARTATCGCCCCTTTAATAAAGATGATGTAATTCCAAATCTATCCTAGATGTGAACTATGACTGTGATTGGTTCCCCTTGTGAGGAACAAAGCATGTGGCCAATTGCATTTCAAGAAAGAAAAACAACAACAGCTGATTAGAATGTAGCCTGGCCCTTGCCTTCCTATGCAGTTCCACTCAATTCTTGTTCTCTTCACTGCTCCGTCTGGGATTTCTCCCATAGACAAGGATTTCATCAGGAGAATTTTACCCGGGCCAATCAGCGAGTAGAAGGTGGTGTTTTGAACGATGTCGATTTTCTGCGCAGTGTCTGCTAGTTTAGCAATGGCAGTAAAGGAAGTGAATGAAGCCAGTCTGTGTTGATAAGGCTTCCAAATTAATTTGAATTTGTCTGACAAAGCAGCAGCTCTCATTTACAGTCGTCTCGTTCAGCTCATACTTCTTTCCTCTCAGTAGGGTTGTTTACAGTGCACACAATTTCCAGTTAGCTTCTTAGCTTAGCGTCCTTCACAGAGGAGCTGGCGTACACATACGTTGTGGCCAACTGATCCAATCATTTTAAACTTGAACAGAGGCCACGCCTCCAGCAAGAAATTGCTTCTCAATAGCAAAGTCCAGACCCTTGTACGAAGCAAAGCAAAGAACAAGGGGCTGGTTTTAACCAGGCTAATTGCAAAGCTATGCTGCATCAAAAGTAACGAGTAACTGCTTCCTAGAAACACAGTGGAGTAAAAAGTACAATATTTGTCTTTGAAATGTAGTGGAGTGAAAGTCATAAGGACTCCAAAAAATAATTACTCAAATAAAGTAAAGATACACAAAAAATGTACTTAAGTACTGTACTCAAGTGAATGTACTCCACTACTTTCCACCACTGAATATTATGACAGCTTGTTGATTTTGTATAATATGTTAGCCCTCAGAGAATGATTCATAAAATGTGTTGTAAATGTTTGTCAGACACTAACATGCAATGGTTTTGCTCAATATCCATGAAACTCACTGACATGTGCATGCTACCTTCAATTAGCTGTGATAGCCATCTTAGGGGTTGACTCCAAAAGCTAATCAGCAGTTAATGTACAGCAAAAATTAATCTCTACGAGTTTCATTGAAACCCATCCAGTGGTCCATGACATATTTTGCTAACAGATATGATTAAGTACAACACTTAATGCCAATGTTTTAAGCAAAGCTGTCACAGAGCATACTGCATTTAAAGTTTGTTAGGGTTAATKATCAGCATCACATTTTAGTTTAATATCGGCTATTGTATGCATTTAAGTTTGCAGTTTGAATCAGTTTGATGTAAACTCAATGTTTCAATAATATTGGTTTGATGGTTCATGAGATATTTTGCTAAAGGTACAGAGAAACACAGAGGCAGGCAAAAGCATTATAATGAAACCTTTGCCTTTTGGAATGAGGAACTAAAAATCCTGACTATGAAAATCACAAGTAGGGRAAACAAAAATGAATGGACATTATATCTTAAGTGTTCATCAGAACGAAACAACATGAAGTCAAATGTTAATTGGTTTMAATTCTGTGATTATTTTGAGGAAAAAATCTTTATAAAAAACATGTTTTATTTTAAGGCACACTGCCAAGAATCTGGCACAAAACAACTTACTTCAAATACAGTCAGAGCTGCATCTCCAAGCAGAGAACAGAGAGCTTCTCTGTTCACCTTGAGTGTGCATGAAAGAAGAAAGAAGACAAAATGGGATGCTTCTTTAGTAGGAAGGGGCACAAATCAAAAGAGCAGCAGGGTCAGAGCAAATCTCTAAACGAGACGGCACCAAGCACTAAACAGTCCCTCTGGAGTAACAAATGGAACAGATGAATGTCTGAGATTTTAGGAGGTTTTGGTTGCAAATATTAATTATTCATTATCTTTGTAGAAAAGAAGAGTAAGAAGATTAAACATCTCTAGAGGGTGAGCTAATGGTGGGAAATAATTTAGCCAAGAAAATGTATATTACTCTGGCTCAAGCATTTGTTGCAATTTCCTTCTATGAAACCAACAATATATATTATTTTGGCCTGACATTTTAGCTCAACAGTCCATGACTATCTTATCCTATTATTGTGCAGTCCAAGGTGAACTTGTCACAATGTGGCACACATCCGTTCTTTCACACAGAAAATCCTCACGGTCTTTTATCTKTTCTTAGGGGTTTTCTTTTATCTGAGTTTGAGTAACTCACCCTTTGCCCAGCAGCTCCCCACACTCAGCAGCTCGGGGTTAAGTTGATCCTATTTGCCACTGATTTTCGAGGCGYTGCCTTCGCTCTGTTACTAAACTAAAACTGTTTGTTGAAACCAGTTAAATAGTTTGACCAAAAAGGAAAAAAAATAAAAATCAAACTGTGCTTATT